AGCTGGCTTCCCCAGTACAGACATCTATAGACTATGCACATATCAGGTTGTGAACACGATAAAATAATGTGACTGACTCCATTGATAGAAAAGAGAGTTCCATTTGGTCAATGTACAGATTATCTGTGATCATCAGTATCTCATCTTAGGTCTGTGCTAGGCACACTGGGTGTTGTCATTATGCCAAATCCCTTAACTGCCAGGTTCCTGCTTAATTTTGAAGGATCAGGAGCCTTGTAAGGCTGGCTGCTGAGAGATGATGGATGTCCCCTGCAAACATGGTTACTTGTTTGTATTGTAATTCCCTTACTGAGGCCAAGCACAGATACAATGCAGACAATTCTTCCACTGGGGCCATTGTGGAGTAAATTATAGTCCTTCTGAATATGAGGCTCTGATGCTTGGATCAAACTGGGAGTCACTGCAGTACACTGTACTACGTTACCTTTCCATGCGGTGTTCTGCACAACTAGAACGGGAAAAGAGAGGATGTGCTGGATGCAGAAGAGCTGGGAAAGCAGCAGCAGTCTTCTGAGGAGGAAGGTGAGGACACTGAGTAAAAGGAATATCGCCTTCACCATTATAGAGTGGTGGTGCAGAATCAGGAAACAACCAAGACAGGATTTCATTGACTTTCACTTCCAATAATTGTGAGCTGGGTGAAGTCATCATTCATTGACCTCAAATTTATTGTTGGTCATAAGGAAAGCAATTTCTATTTATTCCCAGAAGCAAATGTAGCTTTTTATTTTGCTGGTTCTTAAGATTTTGCTTCTCCTATTTATCTAATAAAATGTTTAAATTGTCTTGAAGGCTTTCTAGCTTGTGAGGTTCACATTGCGCAACGACAATGTTATCACTTTGTATGGGTAAAGAGTAATAGTCCTTCAGAAAGAGTTCTAAGATGGTATAGTGTTCAGGACAGTGGCCTCTGTGGCTTCATTTTTGCAGTGGCAGTTTTTACAAAGACAGTCAATCAGGCAAGTCATGACATTAGATGATACATTTATGAATGTGATACTTTATTTGCGATGAAATATCACTTTGTGCCACTATGCATCCTCAGAAGCTTTTCTTTTCATTGTCCTCTCATTATGTGTACTCCGAAGAGCAGTTCCTGCCTCTCAGCATTTGATCTGGTGCATGGCTGGGCTCTAAATATAGGACTGGTGTTGCAAATCCTAGACGCTCCTGGCATTGGTGAGCACCTTTGTTGCTGCTAAGCATGCAATAGTGAGTGTGGCACCATACAGGCATTGAGCACACAACAGATAATTGCACAAACTCTCTGGAGTTAGAATGATAGAATCACACAGTAGAGAAGAAATCCTATCAAGTCTGCACTGACAAAAACTACTCTAAATCTACACTATATTCTAGCACATGTCCCATACCCTTGAATGTTATGACATTTCAGATGCTCATCCAAGTAGTTTTAAAAGGTTATGAGGTTTCCCTCCTCAACTACCTTCCCAGGCAGTGCATTCCAGATTCCCTCCATGAAATTCCTGAAATTCACTCTTAGCTGATTTGTTTTGGGATAACAATTTCAGCTCATTGTTTCATAGAGACTAATATAGGGACAAAGAAATTATTTTCTATGCCTCTTGAGAGCCAAGGATTCTGTAATGCTTTATAACCAGCTCTCTCAGCATATCCTCCCATTACCAATATTAATGGACACACTCAGTCAGTTCCCTCTACCTCTACCCTCTTCTATTTTCTCTTAACTCTTTTCTACCAAAATTAATAATCTGGAGAAACTTGCAGGTTTTTGCAATTTTTTCCTCCCAAAATTCTCTTTATTCCCTTCTGCATCACCCAATTTCTCATTGTCTTACACCATGGTGGGTGCCATTGTTTTGGTTTTTCATTTATGCATTTAGGGAATGTGGGAGTCGTTGGCTGGGCCAACATTTATTGCCCTTCCCTAGTTGATCTTGAAAGTAGTGGTGAGCTGCCTTCTTGGACCACTGCAGTCTAATTAGTGTAGATACACACACAAGATTTTGACCTAGCACCGCTGAAGGAACAACGATATATTTTGAAGTCTGTATGGAGAGTGGCTTACAGGGAAATTTTCAGGTGATTCAGAGGGTCTTGTGGCATAGTAGTACTGTCCCTATGTCTGGGCAACAAGGTCTGGTTTCAAGCTCCATCAATCCCAGAGATGTGGCGCAACATGTCTGAACAGATTGGTTAAAAATAATTTACACCAAAAGCTTTCACCTGAGGAATGTAGATAGTAAGCAATATCTGAAGTGTAAAGTTCCTACTTCAGAGCCAGGAGGCATTGCTTCAAGTCCCACCTGCTCCAGAGGTATTTAATTACATCTCTGACCAGATTGGTAAGGAAGTATTTAAATGATAGTTGCTCCAGCTTGTGGCAGCTTGCTCTATTCAGTTACATTGGGAAATCACCTTGTGGTGTACAGGACATTGGTGAGACCCCTTTTGGTGTACTACATACAGTTCGGGTTGCCCTGCTTTGGGAAGGATATTATTAAAATTAGAGAGGGTTCTGAAAAAAGATTTACAAGGACGTTGCCAGGACTGAAGGGTTTGAGTTATAAGGAGAGGCTAGATAGGCTGGGACTTTGTTTTCCACTGAAGTGTAGGCAGTCCAGGGGTGACCTTATAGGAGGTTCATAAAATCATGAGGGGCATTGATAAGGTGAATAGCAAAGGACGTTTCCCTAGGGTAGGGGAGTTCAAAACCTAGGGGACATATTTTTAAGGTGAGAGGAGAAAGATTTAAAAGGGACCTGATGGGCAAATGTTCACACAGAGAGTGGGTTGTACGTGGAATGAACTGCCAGAGAAAGTGGTGGATGCAGGCACAGTTACAACATTTAAAAGGCTTTTGGACAATAAATGGATAGGAAAGATTTAGAGGGATATGGGCCAAATGCAGGCAAATGGGACTAGTTTAGTTTGGGAAACTCGATCAGCATGAATGGGCTGGACTGACGGGTCTCTTTTCTATGACTATGACTGTACTGCATGGAAAAAAACCTAATGTATTCTGTCTTGATTAGAAAGGTTCATCAAATAAGATGATGCCATTACTTAGTAATAGTGTAAAATAAATCAAAGTTACCATTTTAAATGCTTGTGTTTCAGTTTGGTGAGCCAGTAATTGAGGTTAATTACCAGAGGAACTCCTGGTTTAACACTTCATTGAGTCTTAATGCAATTAGGGCTTCAAATGCAATTGATGTGCAATTACAGTTTGGTTTTGTGGCTGAACTTGTCCTGGCCTCAAAATTTCAAAAGAATCACTTAAGCACTAGTGATAGATTCATAAACGAATCAAGTACAATGAGGACATTTGCTGCTCAGTGACCAAATTACCACCTGTGAATGCAAATATTATTTGGGTTTTGTGGTTAGAATCTTTGACCACAAAAAACATTTCCGTAGAACAGTGCTTCAAGTGCCAGTAACAAGGAAAGTTTCCATTTTAAAAGAAAACCCATATGTAAAATGCAAAAGAACAGCTATAGAAGTTAATTCTTCTCCAGGTGAAGTACGTGCATATTGGTCACTAAAGGAAAATATGATTGAATTTCAGGGTTCGAGTAGACAGTTCAGAAAAACTGAAAACCAATTCATTCATGGGTGTAACTCAGTAAAAAAGTGAATCTCAATTCTAGCTAAGAATAAATAAATGTGAGGAAATGAAACACATTTCCTCTAGTCCTTTTGCTTTTCGCTTGCATGTGTTTAATCATTAGTTTTGACTTTTAGATCTTGGCTGAACTAGTAAAGAAGCCTTCAACAAATTTGAGAGAAGAAAACACATCTTGGAAATCCCCCTATCTTCTTGCAGCACTATCCTCTGCTACTGAAAAAGCCATATATGTCATGTAAGGTCAAGAATAGGCTGAACTTGTCTGGTCAAGAAGCCTGATGCGATTCATCATTTGGATTCAGCAGAGGGGTATTTAAAATAATTTAAATAATAATAACTTAGTTATATTCTGCTAACTGTGTTGACAGGAAGTGAATAAGTTTTTTACATGAAGTCAGTGTTGAAGTTCCGCTGGCTGAATCATGCTGTTTGAACTACAAATGGTAAATGAATTGTGCCTATCTGGAGCACTGAATCAATTCATTATCATCCATCGTTTCATTCCTTGACATAAAGCTTGGGGAGATGGGAATGATCTCCTTGAAATTGAGTGAAAAGCATTTAAAAAGTCAGTTCTAAGATTTCCACAGTAGTAGAGGAAACAGTAAATAAGAAGGATTATGCCTGTCTCAGTGAATTGACTGTTAGCTAGCTTTACAGGATGGTTCATAGTTTCTTCTGTGCTAATTCAGAAGAATGTCCAACATACAGCAACCCAACAGAGGCAGAGAAGAAGGAGGCAAGAGAAGTGTAAGGGAGGTAATTGGGGGATTCCTATTTGATGAGTATTAACTACATTTCATTCCCCCTACCTCCCACCTCAAACAATGTCATTGATATGTAAACTGCAGGGTTTCCCATGCCCAGAGGATCTTGATAATCCTGCCTAGGAAATAGGATGGGGACTGGCAAACATGGTTGCAGTCTCAAATCCCAACAAAGATTGCAAAAAATATTTAGAGTAGCTTCCTTGGCAAATAGCCCTTGAAAGCTCAGTAAGGGTGCTTTTGAGTGACATTGGTGAGGTAAATCCAGGCAGCTACCATCTCTGTCTAACCTAACTCTGATGAAGGGTCTAGGCCCGAAACATCAGCCTTTCTGCTCCTATGATGCTGCTTGGCCTGCTGTGTTCATCCAGCCCTGCACCTTGTTGTCTCGGATTCTCCAGCATCTGCAGTTCCTACTATCTCTATACTAGGCAGACAAAGCATGGTTGATATAGAATAGGTTGCTGGCTAGTCACTATCTACTGGACTACCAGCATCATATCTTCTATCATTATGAACAGTTAGGTACTCAACCTGTAGCCCCTGAGGATTGCTAAACGAAAAAAATTCAGATCGGGGATTTTAAAATTCTCACTCACCTTTGAATATGGAGGGCGTAATACGTTTCCAGAAATGTCTGTTTCCCTGCTATCCACGTACACATCATTTTACTATGTCTCCATATGCAGGTCAGATCTTTTGGCTGATCTGGTGGATCTAACAATGACAATCACAGCAAAATTGAAATCTATACATGATTTGAGATAACAATATTAATTATTTATCTTATCCTTCCGTGGCTTTTTTTTATTGGATTCTAAGGTTTAAGTTATTACATTAAGTTGTGAGAAGACATTAATTTATTTCATAATTAGCCATATAATTACCTACATAAGTGAGACACTATAAAGATGGTAAATGATGTTTTGCAGGATGTACGACTTTAATTTACATTTAGACTGGAAATATAAGACGGGTAAGGATAGATGATGAGTTTGTGGAATGTTTTCAGGTTTTCTTAGAACAAAACTTTCTGGAGGCAACCAGAGATATGGCTATATTAGAACTGGTATTTTACAACAAGTATGGATTAATAAATTATGTAACTGTGAAGGCACTCTTGGGTAGTAATGACCATGGCATGATCAATTTTTACATTTAGTTTGAGGGAGAAGAGTGGCAACAAAATAATTATTTTAAACTTAAGTACGGGCAATTATGAAAAGCATAGAACTAACTGGCATATTAGGTAGTTAAGGGATGTCAATCGTAATGCAGTGGCAGACATTTGACAGGATATTTCAGAATGTACAGAATAAACACATTCCAAAGAAAAAAAAATCCAAAAGGAAAGACCTAACATGGGAGTTCACTAAAAAGTTAAAAATGGTATTAAATTTAAAATGGAAAGGCAAATAATTGCACAACAATGATGATGGTTCAGAAAATTGGACAGAATATTTCTTAAAAAAGCAAATGATGAGGAAATAAATTAGGTAAGAAGATTTAGAGTAAAAGAGAAAGATAGGTATTGCCATGCATTAAATGGGAAGAAAGTGCCAGTCATACACCTCTAATCCACAAGCTATCACAAAATGTACGAATGTATAAAATCCCAGGATGAAGACAAAATGACAAAATAGCCTGACTGATTGATTGCTGATCACATGTATTTAGGTTCGTTTCTCGCATAAATGTTTTCCTTAATCTTTCTTTGATCTTGTATCAACCCCCTCCAACACATGCACACGCACACGCACACACACACACACACACAGAGTAATACATGCTCTGGACATTTCTTCTCTTCTGCTATTGACGCTGACAACTTTTTAACACTGTAGCCAAGACAATCCAAGGGCTATTGTTAGGCTGGATCCTTAACTTGAGTCTTAGTGCCAAACAGTCTTGAATTCTCCTTTTTACTACTTCAAAAAGGAATATTGTATTGCACAGCTTGACAATATATGCAGCACTTGATTTTTAAGTTGCAAAATGTTCCTGATATTCAGTTAAAACAGTTCAACTTCAAGGATGTCAACTACATTTTTAAATGAGTTTCAGTACCAGGTGAATGTAAAACATGGTTGAAACAAATCAAAACATTACATTTTCTCACCTTCATTTCATTCATAACACAAGATTTGAACTTTTTTTTTCTATTTACTTCCAAATTTCTTAAACTATTTTAGTGCAATCACATTCTTGATAATACATCAGTTATTAGATTATCTATTTCTGTAATGTGAATAATTTTGGCATTGAATGGTTGAATCAATAAGCTCTTTTGGATCCATCTTGCATTAGAGTCTTAAATTTCTCCAGAAAAGCTAGCAGATTACAGTCATTATATATTAGTGTTTCATTGCAACCGTGATAGTCACAGAATTCAAAATGTTGAATGGCCAGCACTAATTCCAAAGTCTCCTTTTAGAGGAGGTTTTCTAATATTGGTTTAATTTCTTAGAAAAGTATCCACTATCTTCTCTATTCTAAATTCATCATCTTGCAAAAGGTCTACGCCTACTACCATGTCACTATCATCAAGTGATGTGTTAAAATGTTTCACAAAGTTTCCAAGGCGAAATATCAGGTGTTGTTCCTCCAACCCGACCTTCCGGTTGCCATCCATTTTAATTCCCCCTCCCACTCCCCTGACGGCATGTCCATCCTTGGTCTCCTCCACTATCAGTGTGAGGCCAAATGTAAACTGGAGGAACAACACCTGATATTTCGCTTTGGAAATTTACAGCCCAATGGTGTTAATATTGACTTCACCAGCTTCAAAATTCCTCCACCCCCCAACCTTAACCCATGTTCAGCCCTCCCCCTCCTGACCTGGCCTAACCTGTCCATCTTTCTACTCACCTATCCGCTCCACCCCTCCCACGGATCAATCACAATAACCCCTACCTGCATCCAACTATCACCATTTCTCCTACCCTTTCCCCAGCCCTAGTCCCCCATTTATTTTTGGGCTCCCCTCCTCCTTCCCAGTGCTGAAGAAGGGTTTCGGCCTCAAATGTGGACTTACCTGCTCCTCTGATGCTGTCTGAACTGCTGTGTTTTTCCAGCCTCACATCTATAGACTCTGGCTTCCAGCATCTGCAATCTTGATTGCCCCGTACATCCAGATCATGTCTTATTAATATAGTACATCTTTCTGTATATCTACAGACTTCCTTCATTTTTTAAAAGTAATCTTACTAGAATTTGCCCTTGTCCTTTCTGTAAATTTGAAAATACATTGACTAATTATCCCAGTATTTCAGTACTGGCTACTCAAATTGTAGGTGGTTTACTTTGTGAACTGCTTACTTCTCCTTCTGTCTGATTATTACTGTTGCTGTCATTTTCTTGCCACTCTTGTTTTTATCTTTCTCCCTATGATAATGTTAGTTTAACAAGTTCACATGAAAAATCAATTCTTCTTCCTGCAATCAGGAGTAACTACCAGAGAAATCATTTTACTAAACCTCCTGGCTACCTTGTATGGTGCACTGAGTCTCATTGTCAGAATTTCAGTTTGTAAAGGTAATAACAATAAAACTTTGTCTCCTGTTTGAAATGTTCTAGTTGTAGTATGTTTATCTGCCCATTCTTTCATCTTTCCAGATGAAGTATTTAAATGCTCCCGTGTTACTTTCCATGGAGCCGAGAATCGCTCAAGAAATATGGCCACATAATCCAACATTGAGGTTTTGCCCTTTTCATTTAAGAACTTCTGCTTAACCAACTTTAATGGACCTCTTATCTCATGACTATACATCAATTCAAATAGACTATAATAAATTCATTTAGGGAATCTCTGGTAGTGAAGAATAAGAAATCTAATTGTTTTCTCAATCCTCACTAACTTGAAAGAGTGTTTTGAAGAAGTGATGAAGAAGATTGATGATGGCAGAGTGGTGGATGTTGTCTGTATGGACTTCAGCAAGATGTTCGACAAAGTTTCGCATGGCAGACTAGTTAGCAAGGTTATATCACATGGAATACAGGGACAGCTAGCCATTTGGATACAAAATTGGCTTGAAGGTAGGAACAGAAAATGGCGTTGGAGGATTTTTTTTGGTTAGAGGCCTGTGACAAGAGGTATGCTGCAAGGATCAGTGCTGGGTCCACTGCTTTTTGTCATTTATATAAATGATTTGGATGTGAATATTGGAGGTATGGTGAGAAGTTGCAGATGACACAAAAAATTGGTGGTGCAGTGGACAGTGAAGAAGGTTATCTCAGAGTACAATGGGACCTTGGCCAGATGGGCCAATGGCCCAGGAGTGGCAGATGGCATTTAATTCAGATATTTGTGACGTGAGGTGATGCATCTTGGTAAGGCAAAGCAGGGCAGGACTGATACATTTAATGGTAAAGTCCTGGGGAGTGTTGCCGAACAATGAGACCTTGGCTGCAGGTGCATAGTTCCTTGAAAGTGGAGTTGCAGGTAGACAGGTTAGTGAAGGCAGCATTTGGAAAGCTTGCCTTTATTGGTCACTGCATTGAGTACAGGAGTTGGGATGTCATGTTACAGCTGTACAGGAAATTGATTAGGCCACTTTTGGAATACTGCTTGCAATTCTGGTCTTCCTGCTATTGGAAAGACGTTGTGAAACTTGAAAGGATTCAGAAAAGATTTACAAGGATGTTGCCAGGGCTGGACAGTTTGAGCGATAGGGAGGGGCTGAATAGGCTGCGGCTATTTTCCCCTGGAACACTGGAGGCTGAGGGGGGACCCTATACAGGTTTATAAAATCATGAAAGGCATGGATAGGGTGAATAGCCAAGGTCTTTTCCCCAGGGTGGGGGAGTCCAAAACTAAAGGGCATAGGTTTAAGGTGAGAGAGGAAAGATTCAAAAGGGACCAAAGGGGCAACTTTTTCATGCAGAGGGTGGTGTGTGTATGGAATGAGCTGCCACAGGAGGTGATGGAGGCTGGTACAATTACAACATTTAAAAGGCATCTGTATGGGTACATGAATAAGAAGGGTTTGGAGGGACATGGGCCAAATGCTAGAAAATGGGACTAAATTAATTTAAGATATCTGGTCGGCATGGACGAGTTGGACTGGAGGGTCTGTTTCTTTTCTGTATATCTCTATGACTCTGTAACGCTGTGGTATTTGTGACAATATGCCTTAACTATTGTTTTGAGATCTGATGGTATCTCTCCGAAGTTCTCTGTATTTGTCGATAATAGGCAGTAGACGTCAACTGTTTTATACCCAGATTTCTGATTATGACCTGAAAACTTTTAAGGCAAAGTTAGAACCTTGGTCTAACAGTCTTTTAATCATTATGGACTGCCAATTGAAATACAGAGTTAATTTTCCACTGCTATCTTAGCTGTAATTGTCCTTAAAGGACCAATTTTTGAAAATCAGGTGGTCATCTCCACAACTGTAATGGTATACTGGTGTCCAGCTTTTGTTTTCAGCAATGGTTCTACATAATCTACCAACCCCTGACTGAATGTTTCTTCAAATCTGGTATGGGCATTAAAGTTGGTAGTTTGATTGTATTTTGATGTTCTGACAATACTTGATATGTGTGGCATGTTTTATCAAAACGCACTGTGTCTTTATGAAGTCTTCACCAGGTAAAGTGCCTGTTTATTGATGATCGAGTTTTTCCATATTCCTACGTGTCCTGCTAAAGGAATTTCATGATGGCTCAATATCTGCTCATGATATTTGGTTAGTACCACTGTCTGTTGGACAACTGTTCATTCCTTATCTGCAGGTGAATGAGGATGTCTCTACTTCCTCAATCTGCTTTGAATATAGTAGCACTCCAGAAAATCTTTAGTCTCAGCTTCAGTGTGAGCTTTCTGTATTACCTTGCTTATTTCTGAGATGGCTTTCTGTACCTCATTTAACAACAACATACTAAAACAGTTCTTTTGAATCAGCTCCACCCTTAAAGAATGTTTCTGCTAGTCTAACATCTGCTTGTGGTATTACTTTGACCTCTACTGATAAACTTTATTGAGACGTTCCTCTGGCCAGCACAAACAACTTGTTCCTGTGATTGTTCTATCTCTAACTTTATTTAGGCTTTCTATGATTACAGGCAAAGCTTTAACATAATTTCATCAAATCACTACCCAGGAGTAATTCAACTCTGTCCATAAATAATTTCTTAATAACTATTACAACTGTTCCAGACAACAAGTCACACTACCATTACATTTTGGACAACAGAATTGGGGTGTATTCTCTATTTATCCCATTTGTTACATTGGTTTTCCTTTATATTTCTTCAGTAAAATTACCACTTTTCCTGACTGACTACTACTCAGGACATAAAGAGATTCATACCAAATTTCATCAGTAAGAAAAAAAACTCTTTATTGTGACACACCTAACTTCAACAGCAGCTGTGAGAAGGATTTCCAATTTACCACTATGCCATTGGGACAGGTGATTGGGATGAAGTGATCAAATCTATGGTTGCTAAATTTGTTGATAACACAAAGATAAAAGTAGGAATGTATGTTGTGAAGAGGACTCAAGAAGGCTACAAATGGATTTAAATGGTTAAAGTGAGTGGATGAAGATTTGGCAAATGGAAGTATAATTTTGGAAAATGTGAAATTGTCCATTTTGGTAAAGAATTAAAATATAGCATATTATTTAAATAGTGACAGATTGCACAGCTCTGAGATAAAGAGTGATCCAACATCATAGCATGAATCGTAAGATGCAGATACAGCAAGTAATTAGGGAAGCTAAGGATATTGTTGCTTTTTGCAAGGTAAATTGAAAATGAAAATAGGAAGATTATGCTTCAGTTTGATAGGACATTGGTGAGATCACAACTAGAGTATTGTACACAGTATCAGCCTCCTTATTAAATGAAGGAAGCAGTTCAGAGAAGGTTTACTGGACTAATTCTGGAATGGGTGGGTTGTCTTATCAGGAAAAGTTGGATTGGGTTGAGTTTAGAAGAATGAGGCAATTTGATTGAAACATGCAAGGTGCTGAGAGGTCTTGACAGGATAAATGTTGAAAGAATGTTTCCATATGTGGAAAAATCTAAAACTATGGGTCACTGTTTCAAAATAAGGGTTACTCATTTAAGATAGTAATAAGGACAAAAAGCATTCTGAGTGTTGTGAGTCTTTGGAATTATCTTTCTTAAAAAGTGGTTGAAGCAGAGTTCTTGAATATATTAATGCAAAAGGTAGATAAAGTCTTCATAAGCAAGGGGATGGATAAGGAAGGCCACTGGAGTGGGCAGACATATGGAGTAATCGGATTAGCTGTAGTTTTAATGAATGGAAGAAGAGGCAAAAAGGGCCAAGTGGCCTACTCCTGCACCTAATTTATATGTTCTTATCTGTGTGAAAACATAACAATAGAAGATTTAGAAACAACAGTAGGCCTTTCAGACCTCGTGTTTGCTCTGACTTTCAAAAAAATCCCTGATATTAGATTATCTCAAGGAGAAACATCCTCTCAGCATCCACCTGTCAAGTCACCTCAGCATCTTAATGAGAGATCCCCTCTGTATTGCAGTTGCTGTGCTGTAACATAAATCAAGCAGAGATATTCTTCAGAGGCTCTTCTTGACCAGCAGTACACCTTTGGTATTGTGATTATTATGATATTGTTCTAGCATTGTGAAAATCCACAGACAGCAATTGAAGATCAGAATCAGATGCAGAAATATTTGTACTTCAAGTGACAGTGCAATATAAAGGAAGCAAAAAAAAAGTTCCAATGTTTCAGCCAAAACCTGTAGACCTGCAATTTTCTCAATAATTTCATACTGTTGGAATTTGTTACTTTTAAACAACAGTGTAAGAAATGGAGTAAATTATCAGGAAACTTTCTTTGGTGATTTATTATGATCAAGAGCTAATTTTAACTTGACCCCTGCAATGAAAGTGGAATTAAAATCGTTTATTATCACTGACCCACCAATGTTTACTGGTGGTTTCAGTGGGTAGGTTGGGAAACTGATTATTATGTTGGAGGTTCATTACAGTACAAAGCTCAGGTTTCTAAGATTTACTTAGTATCTTGCTGCAAATAAAAACATGAATTAACTTTGGGCACTGGGAGGAGGAGTATTTCTCTGGGTCCCAGCTGCTTGTTGCTGTTGGGGACACCCACCACAACTGGCCTCTTCCCAGGCCTATTTATTGCAATGCAGGTTGCCAGGTCTTGAATTGACCCAACAGTAGTAAGCTACAGCAAGGTGCCGATTCAGCTGACAGCATGGCAAAAAGGCACAGCCTTCAAAATGAACAGGCCTCCCACTGGCAGGAACAGGCTTTTTTCTGCCTTCTATCTTCCCATTCCATTCTTGGTGTTCACGCTTATCATTTTTTCCTGCATTCACTGTCCTGTTCTGGCTCAGATTCTTCCTGTCATATTGTGCAAGGCCTTCTACTTGCTGGCCCAAGTGCCTAGTTGAATCAAGTGCAAGTACATTATTAGATTCTAGTCAGTGTCCTAAGATTTACATTTGCCAATCTCTGTAGTGCTACTGAAGATGTCATTTTAGACAGATGAGTTGTCTGATGTTTTGTGATGGAACCACATGAGATAATGGTAGTTTTTTTGGGATAAATACTTACAACCAGGTTGAAGACTTGCTACACACACCAACTCTTTCGCCCCATCTACACACTCAATGTAGCAGTATATTGTAGAGTCTTGGGTTGTGACATTGATCATCCAATGATGCGCAGCAGTTTTATTAAAGCGCTCCATTTGTATTGGTTTTTCATTTCGATATAATTCAAATTCATTGATGTCACAGTTCTGTTCTATAGATACACAGGTGATTGAAATGTTTGAGCCCACCAGGAAAACTGGAGCTGGCTTTACCAGGACTTTACCAGGACACTGTATAACAGAAAGACCTGAAAGTAAAATAGATACCATTGAAAACAGATTTTTGCCTTTCTAAATGAACTTTATAGAAATGTCAAGATCAATGCAGGTTTTTTTTAATGTTTGTTTCAGCTTATCAAAGTACCACAAGGGAGAATAATGAAATCAGAAATGATTAGGATAGAGGTTAGAAACAGCACTGCTCTGCCCTCCCAAAAAAACCCTTATTAGAATTTTGAAACAAATACTTTTTACTGAACCAATGTGCGTTTTAAATTTCTAATCAAGGAGAGATAAGTTACTGACCAATATATTCAAATATATTTGTAATACAATGTTTGTATTCGTCAACTAGTTTCACATGTATGTAGACAGTTATCATTGTGGGGTGATTTAATCTTATTTGCCCAGTTGCTATTGATTAAAGAAAAAAGTTTGTTCCTGAACTAGATGTTATCACCAACAGCAGGTAATGCACCAATATATATGTGTAACATACACAGGTGCAAACAGTAAAACATCAAATCTCTGCCCAGTAGGTTAAACTGATCAATCTTATCGTTGGCACTGGATCTCAAAATACTTTTAAAACCCTATATTTAACATCAGCTGGTTTTTCTTATTTTTTTTTAACCTTCTCTTGCACAATTACCCACCTCCTGGCAGTTATTTGCAGTTCCATGCAATGCTACAGAGAGGTTTGTTGTGATTCTTTTCTCCAACGTTCTGCAAGCTGGGTTTGGAAATATAACGG